GGATTTCCCAGGCAAGAACACTGGAGTGGGTTGCCAATCCTCCCCCAGGGGATCTTCCCAGCCCTGGAATCTTCCCGACCCAGGGGACAAACCTACGTGGTCTGTTAGGTTTGTCTCCTGCACTGGCAGGCGGATTCTTTACCCATAGTGCCACCTGGGAATAATGGATGAGGGCTGGCCCACTTTATCATTAATTTAAAAGCATTTGATTCGGAGTGAGTACATATCACAGTATAAATCCAAAGTTTTGGGTAATGCAGGCTTCTACACCTGTGATATGTCCTTATCCTCTTTCTGTCAGCTCATTTTTTTCAACAAGCACTTATTGACTCATGATGGGCCATGATTGTGGTTTTACAGAGCTGAACAAGACATGGATCCTCCTCTCAAGGGAATCACAGTCTAGTGGGAACTCAAGGTATATACATTAAACTAATGATTATTCTATGCAGTTTTAGAGTGATAACACGGTTTATTAGAAATATTCTGACCAGAAAGCTCACTCAGGCAACTACATGGCTGGTAAACTTGAGAAGGACAGGCTGTGTGCAGAGAAATCATTTTGGAGTCTTCAGCCAAAGTCCAGGCAAGAGATGGTGGTGGCCTGAGCTAGGGAAATGGTAGGAGAGAAAGACAGAAGGATGAGAAATTGAAAAGCATTTAGGAGGTTAAATCAGCAGGACAGTACATGGAGGAGAGGCAAGAGACCCAATGCAGGAAAATAAGAGAATATGCTTCAGAGCAGGCAAAGACAATTGAGAAGACTGGGGGAGAGCAGAGAGCAATGGCTTCATGAAAAAAAGGAGGAAGAGGAAGCTCCCTGATGGTCCCATGGTTAGGATTTGGCACTTTTACTGCTGTGGCCCAGGTTCAGTCCCTGGTGGGGGAAATGAGATCCCAACAACCTCACAGTGTAGACAAAGAAAAAAAATGCAAAAAAGGGGTTGGTTGACAATGTTATTATTACAAGAAGTCATTTAAGTTCAGAACTGGCAATTTTCTGATAGATTAGAAACAAAATGTTCACTGGTGACCCTGATGAACTTGGTTTTAGTGGTACAAAACAAAATTTCATGGAATGACAAGTAAATATTCAGGAGGATAAAAGTGAATTCAGAGCACAATCATTTTCTCCTTTAGATACCATAGTCAGACCACCTAGCACCTAAAAGCTTTTCTAGAGTGCCCAAAACTATGCTTGAGGTCTGAAAAAAATTATTAGTTTCAAAATGCAAAGAGAAAACTGCTAAATTAAGTTGACATGTGTAATTAAATATCTCCAAGATGTAACATTGTTTCGACTTCATTAACTTTAAATTTAATATTCATAAAAACTGCATTACATTTAGAAACAATTTTTTTTCAGCTTGATTTTTCTCCTTTTGCAAACATTCTCTTGTATGCACAACAACTGCTGAGAAATCACAGCCAATTATACATTAACTGTTGCTTGCCACTCCATCACATCAGAAGCAGAATTTTAAAAATGCATTTAGCATATAATGTGGATACATTTTCTTTTTGTTTTATGTGGGATGGGGCCACCAACTGTAAGCTTTTTAAGAGCTGTCTTAAAATAGTTCTGATATAGACAAACTGTTTCAAAAAGCTTGGCCAGGGAAGAAAAGAAAAAAGAAGGGTATTCACTAGACAGAGCTGGAGGGGGAAGAAGGATTTTTTATTTTTCTTTTTTAATTTTTAATTAATATTTTATATTGGGGTATAGCCAAGTAATAATGTTGTGATAGTTTCAGGTGGACAGCAAAGGGACTCAGTCAAACTTACACATGTATCCATTCTCCCCCACACTCCCCTCCCATCCAGGCTGCCAGGTAACATTTCGCAGAGTTCCCTGTGCTAGACAGTAGGACCTTGTTGGTTATCCATTTTAAATATAGTAGTGTGTACACATTGATAAGAAGGGAAAGACTTAAGTGTGTTTTCGCGCTGAGGGAAAAAGCCAGTGGGGAAGACAAGATTGGGGAGGGCCAGGATGGTGACAGAGGGCAACAGGGACACACTGGAGCCCAGATGGCAGAACTGGACTTGAGGGTAGAACACTTCCTCTGCAGAAACATGAGGGGAGGTTGAGTTCCTAAAAGGGGATCCTAAGAGACATTACTTTGCCAACAAAGGTCCGTCTGGTCAAGGCTATGGTTTTTCCAGTGGTCATGTATGGATGTGAGAGTTGGATTGTGAAGAAAGCTGAGTGCCGAAAATTTGATGCTTTTGAGCTGTGGTCTTGGAGAAGACTGTTGAGAGTCCCTTGGACTGCAAGGAGATCCAACCAGTCCATCCTAAAGGAAATCAGTCCTGGGTGTTCATTGGAAGGACTGATGCTGAAGCTGAAACTCCAGTACTTTGGCCACCTCATGTGAAGAGTTGACTCATTGGAAAAGACCCTGATGCTGGGAGGGATTGGGGGCAGGAGGAGAAGGGGACGACAGAGGATGAGATGGCTGGATGGCATCACTGACTTGATGGGCATGAGTTTGAGTAAACTCTGGGAGTTGATGATGGACAGGGAGGCCTGATGTGCTGCGATTCATGGGGTTGCAAAGAGTCGGACACGACTGAGCGACTGAACTGAACTGAACTGAATCTTTTTTCTGGAGCTGAAGCTCCAATACTTTCGCCACCTGATGCAAAGAGCCAACTCACTGGAAAAGACCCTAATGCTGGGAAAGATTGAAGGCAAAAGGAGAAGGGAGGGATAGAGGATGAGATGGTTAGATACCATCACCAGCTCAATGGACATGAATTTGAGCAAACTCTGGGAGATAGTGGAGGACAGAGGAGCCTGGCATGCTGCAGTCCACGAGGTCACAAAGAGTTGGACACGACTTAGCAGCTGAAAAACAACAGTGTTTTTTCTATATCAGACAGAACTATTTGAAGGTGATAGGAAAGTCCATGGTACCTCAACAACCACTTAGGGCTCTGTTTACCTAAACAGGTGGGCATCCTTGGTATCAGTTATCACTTCCCCATCACTGGGGAGCCCTTTCTTCACAGGGGCTGGCTGGAGAAACTAGTTAGCCCATGATGTTCAGGTGCATGTTCTAAAACCTGGTTCTCACCACCCCTAAAGTTGGGTGTGACCCCAGCTAGATTCTTGGGGCATTCCCCCTTAAGTGTTTCTTTTGTCTCTCTAAAGTTTCTATGGTCAAAAACATTCTGCTTAAATGGTTCCAGGTTAGAGGGACAGGTCATCAAAAGAAGACCAAACACCTTCCTCCTGGAAGGAAGAAATCTACTCCAAACCATCTATGCTTTCCCTTGGAACTGAGATTTTAAGTTGTCTCTTGGTTTTGATTATTCAAAATAGAGGATATTGTATTCACATAAGTCCTCAAGAGTTGGCTGTGTGGCCCTGCAGACCAGAGTGTATAACCCATTGGGTGCATTCATGATGTGAGCCCTTGGAGTAGCAGATTATTAGTATAGGCAGGTGCTGTGCCATGCTGTGTTATTTTAAAAACAAAACAAAAACCAAAAAAACAAGACAGTCATTTGAGACTTTATGAAAGGAAACCCAGGGCATCTTGAAATGGCTAGGCAGGGATATTTTTCCAGCTTTCCCAAGTACAGGAAGCAGGGTCAGATTTCTGCTCCTAAACCCTGGTTCATCTCAGTGTTGCAGGATGCTGGCTCTCCCTGACACGACATAGCTCCGTGTCCCATGAGGGCACTGCTGGTTGACCAGACACTCAAAACGTGTGAGTATTCAGGAACAGCACAGGAGGGAAGCCACACTCTTGGCACTTTCCTAGATAAAAGCTGCTTTTTGATGTATGATGTATGTATGTTTGATGTATGATTGTGGCCCCTGTTGAATCAGAGTTTCATGTGTTTCTGACATTCCCCCCCCCCAAAAGCATCCAGTTACATAGCTAACGTGGTGTTTGACACTGCAGAAGTGAAACAATGAGATAATTCTAGAAATATCTGTTAAGTATATGTTATTTGGACAGTTATACTAGGAAATGAGGTTATAACCAGATATTGTGCCTGACTTGAAGGAACTTAGCTATGTACAATGCTTTCCCAAATAAAATTTGCAAACAAATTTTAGGCCTGGCTGGAAAAGAATCACCTGTGAAATGCATTTAAAAATACAGATTCCTAGGCATCATTTCCAGAGGTAGGGATTCTGTAGGTCTAACAGAATCTGGGTAAGATTACCCAGAATCCTTCTGGGTAAGGACTAGGGAATCTATGTTTTTAATGAGCTTCCAAGGTGGTTCTGATGGCCTTCCAGTTTGGGAACCACTGGTCTGGTTTTTACTTTCCAAGGAAGTATTTTAATAACATGTTGACACAGATAAGTAAAAGAAATTTTTTTCTATCTACAGTCTGGTTACAAATTTTTTATATCCATAGATATAAATGGCTTTATATCAAGCAAACACAGTGTTAGGAAGATTGACTACATTTTTATGAAACAGCTAGAATTTGCTGGTATTTTGATATCATTGTTATTGTTGTTGTATAGTCGCTAAGTTGTGTCCAACTCTTTTGCAACCCCATGGACTGTAGCCCACTAGGTTTCTCTGTCCATGGGATTTCCCAGGCAAGAATACTGGAGTGGGTAGTCATTTCCTTCTCCAGGGGATCTTCCTTATCCAGGGATCGAACTTGCATCTCCTGCATTGCAGGCAGATTTTTTACCACTGGGCCACCTGGGAAGCCCTTTGGTATCTATATATAGACTAAATCCAATTTTGCCTGAGCCCATTTTCATAAAATGACGGCCACTCCCACCCCAAGAAGCTTCTCACCAATCTCCTCCACTTGCATCTACATCCCCTTCCCCTCTTCTCCTCCAGCTATGCTCTGCTTTTGTTTCAAAAGAATAATTATATCTCAAGGAACATGTGTGTAAAGCATCTACAAGTCTCAAGTGCTGGTAATTCAAATAACATTCAGCATTTTTCATAGAATAATTATGTCTCCCAGCTCTTTTACACTATCTTTTGTTTGCTCTTACTTTCTTACAGGACTAGGAATGGAGAATATTGGTGGAATCTTTGTGGTTCTTATTTGTGGCTTAATCGTGGCCATTTTTATGGCTATGTTGGAGTTTTTGTGGACTCTCCGACACTCAGAAGCGACTGAGGTAAACCTTCTAATGGGTGTGACCTATATAGTGTTGGCAGGCAGGGCAAAGTTCAGAGGCTCATGCAGGGACAAAGGTCATTTCAGACAGAACCTGTGAAATCCCACAGGAGAGTAGGGGGCCCACGGATTTAGCACAACTGTGATTTAAGGTATAGAATTAAGAGGAAAAACAAGCAAAAGTAACCAGGTTACAATGGAAACAGTGGCTTTGGCTCTTCCATCTTAAGTATGTTTTTGCCTTGCAGGTAAAGCTGTCTAGAGCTATTATCCCAATTCATGAGAGCTCAAAATGGCATCTTCCTTCTCAGAGATTTGGAAGAAGCTTAATTCTCAGGCCTGTGACTTAGAAACTGGGTTAATTAAGCTTCACACAGGTGGAAGAGTCTGAGAAGGAGGAATAAGACTTTACCCAATTGTACCCCCATTCTACCTCCCTACATGCTACTTGCATTATTTGTTTTAATTGGGGTATAATTGCTTTACAGTGTTGTGTTGGTTTCTGCTCTACAACGAAGCCAATCAGCTATATGTGTACACATGTCCCCTCCCTCCTGAACCTCCCTCTCCCCTCCCCTCCCCCACCCTACCTCTAGGTCATCACAGAGCACCGAGCTGAGCTCCCTGTCTATAGAGCAGCTTCCCATTAGCTATCTATGTTACCCATGGTACAGAGAGCAGTATGCATGTTCCTCAGAAAACTAAAAATAGAGCTACCATCATTTGGTTTTTAAACTATACTGGCATTTATCTCAATCTCCCAACTCCCGATTGTCCTAAAATCTCGCCCACTAATTGACACTGGAGAAACAGGTCCTAACAGTAACTAAGAGTCCAGGGCTCCTATAAACCTCTGCAGTCCAGCCTCATGTCGGGCCTCGATTTAACACAGCTCACCAATCTCTTCCTCTTTCTCATGTCCCAGCAGAACTTCCAAGCCATCACCTACTCCTCATAACCCTTTGCCGCTTCATGACTAATTTGCCCTCCTGTCTCACCAAGAGATCAGGAGTGACCAGCCCCCACTGAAGATCGCCACCTAAAAAAACCCATCCACGGCTGGAGCCACCCCGGGGCTGCCTCGCATGTTCCGGTCACCCCTCCACCTCATTCCCATCTGTCCTCAGCTCCTCTAGGATTATCCTTTTTCTCTCCTTTATTTTTTCTCCCTGTTCTCTCCCCCAGGTCCACAACTACACTAATGTTTATCCCACAGTCTAAAATAACAGCCATGTTACTGTTGCTCTTGCCCTCCCTCTCTCCTCTTGCAAACCCAGACGATCCAACTGCTTCCACCTCCATGTTCTCACCTCCCTTTCTGGCCTCACTCAAGGACAGCTGGCTTCTCCCCGCCTCTGCCCTGAAAGGTCGTGGCTAAGAGGCCTGACCCCTCCCAATGAACAAAACCAAAAGATAACCCATTGGGCCTTATTGGACTTCAGTGTGGCCCCTGATGAAGTGGACAGTTCCTTCCAGAACTCTTTCCTCCCTTGCCTTGCCTGCTCCAGACTCTTGGTTCCCCACCTCCTTCTCTCTCTAGCATTACCGGCTCTCTTCCACCATCTACTCCGTAAACAGTGATGCTCTTACCTCTCCCTAAGACCTCATTCAAGTGTTCCTTTCCCTGTGAAACCTTCCCCACATCTCCTGCCTTCTCCCCCAAATCAGAAAGCTACTCATTTCTCCTCCCTTCCACCATCCCTGTAACCAGAGCATTGGGCATTTACACACTGTGCCAATTATTTTCATATCAGCCTGGTTACTAGACATTTTGCTACCCGAAAGTAAGGACTCAGTCTTTTGTGTCAGTATTCCCACTGCAAAGCACAGTATTTGATACTTAGTTGACAGTCCATACATATATGTCCTTATATTCTGTTGCATATAGTAGATTAGGCAGGGGATGATGCTTTTGTTATTATTAGAAGCACAGAGAAGATAAGACTTGCATAGAGTCTCTGCTATTTATTGACAGTCTTGAGTCTAGTCCTGACTCAGGCCATGTTCCATTAGGGGATCTACTTCTCTGTAGCTGCTTCAGGTAGAGAATCTGTGTGAGCTGGGTTATTTTCTCAAGAACTCGCCCCCGTGGTCTGGATGTACCTTGAAAAATTCAGTGAGGAGTTTAAGCGCTCTCAACATCTAGAAAGGAGAGTAAAGGCTACCTGAATTATTTGGCTATGGTAAAACTACTTCCTGTTTCTGCTGATAGAATGGGAAGACTGGAAGAGAGAACATGAAAGAAAAGAAAGCTCCTTCTCCCATCCTGGGGGGAAAACTGTCCTTTCCAGCACAGAGTAGGGAACAAAGCAGAGCATGTACTCACTCTGAAGGAGGTGGGTTTAGATTCAACTTCTAGGTCAGCTATTTGTTAGTTGAATAATTCTAGTAAGGTATATAAATTCTTTGAGCCTCCATTTCCACATCTGTGAAATGGGTATAACCATGATAGTCAGGGGCTTCCCTGGTGGCTTAGATGGTAAAGAATTCACCTGCAATGGAGGAGACCTGGGTTCAATTCCTGGGTTGGGAAGATTCCCCTGGAGGAGGGCATGGCAACCCACTCCAGCATTCTTGCCTGGAGAATCCCATGGACAGAGGAACCTGGCAGAGCTTGAACTCCTCACTGAATTTTTCAAGGTACATCCAGACCAGGGGCGAGTTCTTGGGAAAATAACCCAGCTTACACAGATCCCCTACCTGAAGCAGCTACAGAGAAGTAGACTCCCCTGATAGAACAATTAGGGGAACAATGGAACAATCCATGTGATCGAAAAGAGTTGTGAGCGACTAAGTAAAGCACATGGGAGTCATGGTACAGGTTCAAGATTCTTCATTAGCAATTCTGAAACCTAAAAAGCTCAGTTCAGAAAGTTCCAAGTTTTTAATGTTTGATGCCAGCGTATTTGGTGACAAACCTAGACTTGGATTTGTATAAGACTAATATTTATGGTCTTTCTCTCACTTGGAGTGAGCATATATACCTTTTGCTACAGAAATATTAATGTGTTTGAATATAGGGTCTTCCCCAGAGCCCACTGGAAGAGATACATAATGTATTTTATGTTCACTGTATTACCTTGTCCAAATCCAAAATATTCTAAAACACAGCTGGACCCAAGAGTTTCTTATCAGGAGAGCTGCAGGAGTAGATGGCTGTTGTACAGTTCTTGTCAGAACAGCAGCCTCTCCAGCCATAACCAGCTGATTAAAAGAAATGAGACTTTTTAGCCTGAGAACAGAATGTTCATGGAGACAGGGCTGCTTTTTCAAATACTTGAAAGACTGACATCTGGTAGAGGGATTACTTATTTAGTCAGCTTCAAGGTCCAAATTTAACTGGGATCAATGGATGACAATTTCAGGGAGAGGAATTAAGTCAGTAGAAGGAAGCAGCGTTTAGGGGAAATATGCAAAACTGGTAGGGGCGCTTTCCCACCGTGGTGAGATCATTGTCTTTGAAGGTGTTCAAAGTTCAAACAACCAGCTGGTAGGGCTGTTGCAGACGATGGTATGGAGGATGTTTGAATATTAAATAGCGGGTGGAAGTGAGAGGATGAGTTGAAAGCCCTTCGATCATATAAGATGATAAAATTCTGAAACTGCGCCCTGATCGCAGGGCGAACTAGCACGAAGGGACCCCTAGGGGGCTGTTCTTGAGAGATGGGGCTGTAACCTCCTCGTGTCCTGCAGGTGTCCGTCTGCCAGGAGATGGTGAGCGAGCTGCGTAACATCATCCTATGTCAGGACACTGTCCACCCGCGCCGGCGGCGCTCTGGGCTGCCGCCGCCCCGGCCCCCCATCCCGGAGGAGCAGCCCCGGCCCCGGGGCACCGTGACGCTCAGCAACGGCAAGCTGTGTGGGGCCGGGGAGCCCGACCAGCTGGCACAGAGACTGGCCCAGGAGGCCGCCCTGGTGGCCCGCGGCTGCACGCACATCCGCGTGTGCCCCGAGTGCCGCCGCTTCCAGGGCCTGCGGGCGCGGCCGTCCCCGGCGCGCAGCGAGGAGAGCCTGGAGTGGGAGAAGACCACCAACAGCAGCGGGCCCGAGTAGCCCCGCCGCGGAAGATGCTCGGCTCCCCGGCCCGCTGCGGGGGCGGGATGCGCCGGGCCGGCGCCTGCTGCCCGCGGGCCTTCGGACTGTACAGCGTCCACCCTTCTCTCCGGATTTTGGATCCAGCAACTGTACAAAAAGATCAAAGAGCCTGACGCCCCAGCAGGAGACGGCTCCCTGGTCCGGGGAGCTGGGGCCACCCCAGAGACGATGCGCCCGAGTGGCAAGGGATGCTCTGACTCCCAGCCAAAAGCCCCCACTCCCCGCAGTGGGCCTTCCCAACCCGCCAAAACTACAGAGTCCGGGTGGGGGTCCCTGTCCAGACCGTCAGATGAATTGGTGGCATCATCAGTGGAATTTACCCCTAGGAAGGGGCCATTGTACCCTGGGTCTAGTTCTTACAGGAAAAAAAAAAAAATTAAACTCAACAGGGAAGTTTTTCTTTTCTGGATTTGTATATTTTTGTTAATGGTCTTTTGTTGTCTCATTTGCTTTCCTTCCTTCCTTTGTTGTCTCAATTCGTTCCTTTGTTTTGCTTTCTTGGGGAGGCAGGGAGGCTGGGTTAGGGATTGGAAGTCACCATAATCTGTTACCATTTCCCTAAATTTGAGGATATGGAGCAGCCAGTGCATCAAACTCCAGGTGCTGAATTCTCCTTTCTGTGGGGTGACCGGGGACACAGGGGCGTGGAGGAGAAGGCTCTTGGGAAGAATTAGGTGAGCAGTCGCCAATAAAAGTCCATTAAAGTAATTTTTAAAACATCCCAAACCAATGAACTCAAAGTTGACTGAGAGAATTGAAATGCCTGAGAGATTAATACGTCCCTTCTTTCTGTTTCTCTTTTTGACTTTCACTGTGATTGGGTTTGGTGTGGTCTTTGGTGAAAGTGATCTCTGAAGCGGAGAGGAGGAGAGAAGAGAGAGGAGCGCAGAAAGCACTGACTATCCCAGGGCTGGTTTGAGAGGGTAAATGCAAACTTCCCAGACAGTGGCCTTGGTTTTAGCGGAACTCGGTGTTCATGGGGTGGAGTTTGGGGAGACCATGGGGCCCCCCTGCTGGTCCGGTGCATCCTTCGTTACCTGCACCTCTTTTTAACAAAACTCAGTAGCTGCCTATGAAGCCAGGGCTATCCTGGATTGGGTGACTTCTTGCTACTAGATGGGAGACCTGGGTACAAGAACGTGTGTGTGTGTGTGTGTGTGTGTGTGTGTGTGTGTGTTTATTATATAAAAAGACCATAAGTAATCAAGAATTTGCCAGGTTCCTAGGAGAGGGGTAGGTTCTTGTGGCCAGTGCACAGGCCTGGGAACTAGGAACTCTTGAGGTCTTACCCACACATGGGCAGTAGCCCCCTTGTATGACTTCACATGAAGCATCTCACTTCTCTTCCATCTGCACATTCAGAGTTGCTGATGCTCTCCAGGCTGTCAGATGCCTGCGAAGTGCTTCTCTACTTGTGAGATACTTGCAGAGTCCACAGCATCTTTTGACAGGAGGAGCAGCCTTCCCAGCAGCCACTTGACCTTTGCTGGGCTTCTCCAATTGGGAGTTTCACTCACAGAGTTTTCATTTTCTGATGGAAAACAAATTCTATGCAATTTCTGTCTGTCAGCTTAGAAAATCCAGAGGGAGAGAGAGCTAAATAGCTATGATGATCACCTCCCTTACCATCAATACCTTGAATCGAAATTGTCCTCACATTGTTTCTGTTCTGAATGTACGAACATAAAGACACCTTTGGAAGACGACGAGCTTAATTCCATGTTTTTGCCATCGACATCTTCCTGTGCCAGGACAGTTGGTTAGAGCAGCCATCTTGGGGGTACCCCGAGGAGTCAAATAAAGGATTCCAGTTTTGTCCTAGGCTGACCTCTTCTCTCACATGAATTTGAGTCCTTTTACTTTTTCCTCTTAACTCATCAAATGTCAGCAAAGCTCTGCAGACACAGTCTTTTTTTTTAAACCTTGCTTGCTTGAACCACCTGAAGAAACACGGATTTGGTGGGAAGGGCACCTGGAGGCCGACAGACTGCAGACGGAAATGGTGCCAAGCTGCCCTCAACTCCATCCCTTGCTTCTGACAATGTGGTCCCTACTGTCAGATCACATGTGGGGCAGGAAGGGTTTTTTTTTTTTTTTTTCTAAAAAAGACAAATAAAACTCGTTTTTATGAGCAAAACATCTTGATCAATAACAAACTTTTTTTAATGGATTAGTGAAGTAAATGTCCCCATGAATCATTTATAAAGTCTGTTTCTTTCACGGAATAAAGATAGACTGACAGCGCAAGGCAGTTTCTTTCAGCTGCAGAAACCATTGCTGCACCTTGCTCAAGCTGCGGAGTGAATTTACAACCAGCTAGTTCTCTTCCTTGGTTCGTCTCCACTTTTTATCTGTTGGTTGTTGGCTTTCTTTTCCATTCTGTATTTTCTATCTGACTCTGTATACTGTATAAAGCTGTTTTCTCTTGTCTGTTTATCTTTCTTCGACTGGAATATTTACAATAAAACAGAAAGAAACCCTGAAATGTTAGTGATGGATGAAAGCTGTCTGGGTTTGGAAAAAGAGTGGTTTGGTGTGTCTAAAATCCAGGTACTCTGAAAGCAAATAAAAATGTAAACCCACATTTTGTCTTCCCCTCCACCTGCCCTTCTCTCTTGCCCTCTCTGCAGTTCCCACCCCTTCGGCTCTTTGTTCAGACCCCAGAAAAATCTAGGTGACTTCTTTCAGTTTGTAGTCCTGGAGACAGAGTCAATCCCCACCTTCCACCCCCAAACGGATACACATGTTAATGAAGTTCAGGATTCATAGGGTTTTGTCTTCCTAAATGCACTTTCACAGAATAGTCATCTATTGATACCTAGGGTAACTCTAGTCAGATATCACCCCAGATTCCACTGGGAGCTTGAAGATTACATCAATTAAAATATAATACTTTGCTTTATTTCTTTTAATTGCCTTGCAGGGCCCCAACGGTCACAAGATCTCTACCTCAGAACCCAGGTGGGGTGTAAGTTGAGTACGTAGATGGCCAAAAAATCTTTTGGCTTCCTCTAATCCAATGCTCATATGAGAATATTCATCCTGGGAACTTGCCAAGCGGCCCTCTTATTGGTTAGGTGAGACCAAAATATCATGATAACCAATCCGCCTGGGGCTGCTCTGTGAAAGTTTATTAGTTTGGAATTCCAAGGCGTTTAATTTTCTTTGGGAATCCAAGGGGGACTTCCCATGGTGTACAAGGCCAGAAAAGGCCGGGGCATTTCAGACTCGGCAGGTTGGTGGTTTGAGTGAAGCCTGAGAGAACTGTTTGTCACCCTCCCTCCAGTGGGGTGTGCACAGCAGTAAAGAAGCCTGGACACGATAAGGGGGATTTGGTTCCCTGATGGGTAGGAGACTCTCTGGAGGTAAGAATAACAAAGAGGCCTGTTGGGAAAGTTCAGAGAAGGAATCCTTTCATAAAGATTTCACTTAAAGCTAGTGCTTCCTATGGGGCCTCTCAAAGAGAAAAATTAAGCCTTTAGTTGCTTTGAGTTGTTCGCTTGTCTTTCTGTGAAAGGTGGCTTCTCCCCACAACCCCACAGGGAAATCCTCCAACATTAGCCAAATGGAGTGTCCTTGGGGGCTCCTACTCCGGAGGATCCTACCGCATGCCTCAAAGATTGGTGATGACGTGCCCTTAGAGAACTCCTCTCATAGAAAAAATGTTTGTTGTTGCTGTTTAGTCCCCGAGTCTTGTCCAACTCTTTTGCAACCCCATGGACTGTAGCCCACCAGGCGCCTCTGTCCATAGAACTCTCCAGGCAAGAACACTGGAGTGGGTAGCCATTTCCTTCTCCAAGGGATCTTCCTGACCCAGGGCTCAAACCTAGTCTCCTGCATTGTAAGGCAGAGTTGATTGCAGAGGGAAAAGTCTCTAAGTTTTAAAACTGAGGCAGCCAACAACCCCACTATAATTTAAGGGCAATCTGGAAAGAGCAGTTCTGTCACTATCAACAGAATGTTATCCTTCAAATTCTATTAACTTCATATTAATTTCCAAATCTGAAAGAAAAAATATTAATGTTACCATAAGAACTAGCATGAAGATCAAGAAAGAAAAACGTTTGTGAAGGGAGTAGAATGGAAAACAAATTCTCTGATCAGAAATGGCAGAAAAGTTGATGGCCTAAGAAGAGACATAAAGAGGTTGAGTGTAGGGACCATTGGCAGTCCAGTGGTTAAGACTACCTTCGAATGCAGGGGGTGAGGGTTTGATCGCTGGTCAGGGAACTAAGATCCCATGTAACGTGCAGCCAAAAAGCATAAAAGAGAAGTAATATTGCAGCAAATTCAATAATGAGTTTTTTAAAAAAGGAGTTGAGCATATTATCTGCTCATATATTAAGTGAGACCCTGCATGTAAATATTTCAGTGGTCAGGATTGAAGGAAACAAGTCAGAGAACCAATGCATTGTAACTGAGTTGTATCTGGGGAATTGAACTCACTTACAAAGGTAAATATATAGAGTCTTACTGCAAATATATAGAGTCTCTATTTTAGAGGATGGAGGTCAGACACATAAGCGCAATGATCCTCCTGCCAGAAAATTAGCTAAAGAATCCTGCTCACCCTTCAGAATCCCTTGTACCCAATCCAGTGTTCTCTCTTGACTATGGCAGAAAAGTCAGAGGGGAACAGGGATCAAGAGGCCTCTCATCCTGTCAGGAATTTTTCTTAGATTCGCGAGTGACCTTGAGAGAGTATTTCTTCAGTCTACAGCCCCACATTAGAGTCTGCGTCTGTCTTTTGTCTGAGAAGACAACAGTTACCTGTAAGGAACAGTGAAGATAAAGCACAAAATATTCAAGTGCTGGAGTGTGTGATTTGGAATCAAATCATGCAGACATTCCGAGAGGCTGAAGATTCCATGTAATTGAGATCAGCTTAGTGGAGGAAGCAGGACTGTTTGTGACTTGGGGTTGTTAATTAATTAACTTATTTATTCTGGACATCTAGA